AAACAAAAAAACCGCGACGAAATCACATAAAAATTTAACTATTTAACCAAGAACCCAACAAAATGTCTACTAATTAAAAATGTTTTTTTTAAGTTCTGATTTGAAGAATTATTCCGCCATTAGCGCGGTGCAGTGAGGCGCGATGCGTAAACCTTGCCAACTCACAGAGCGGCATCAACGCAAAAGCGCAACTCAACACAGTGTTATCCACAGATCAGAGCCTCTGTGATCTGTGGTGATCTGTGAGAACATCCTGTCATCAGTCTTTATCTATAATCCTGTGTTATCAAAGATGGAGTCGTGCGAAAACAATTAATTTATGAAAGTACTTTCCCAAAGATATTCTGAATATATTGTTTGAATGTTTGTACAAAAAATGTAGCTTGCCCTCAGAGCAGTCCCACATAATCAAAGTTATGTTTTGAAAATGCTTTTGGTTTGTCCCTACTGAAATAATATGGGGTGGTTAAGTTGTTGTGAATGTAAATCGAAGGAAGAAAAAATCACAGAGTTAGATTTCTCTCGTTGTGGAATAGCCGAAGTCCCCAATGAGGTTTACGTTAACTCACCATCGTTGGAAGTCCTGCACCTTGAAGGGAATAAGGTGAAAACTAGCGTTGTCGCCTAAACAAGGCAGTCTGTAGGAGACTGCTTTTATAAACAATCAAATGGCATGATAATGTTCTGTAGAATTAGTCCTAGGAAATATATAAAAACCTTTAAGCTAATCTTAATCACACCATCATCAAATACCTATACATCGGTCCGCTATCAATAGAAAACAATCAATAATCTTCCTCGAAAGTGTGTGGTTTTAATATAAAACAATCTTAGCATTAAAGCTCACCACCAAAATGAACTTACCAATAGTATACAATAGGCAAACACACGAAATCAGGTGGCCTTGCTATCACCAATATCCCGCTACAGTCATTAGGCATAACGCAAAAACTAATAACTTGAAAATCATCCACATGTCCGTAGATTATGCAATGATTTCTAAATCATTCACTGTGTTGACGTGTGTTTTTGTCTTTCAGCTCAAAGATTTGTCTCCCCAGTTGTTTCAGTGCATAGATCTTCGCTACTTGAACATCAGTGATAATGAAATCCGAGCCATACCTCCACTTATCTCAAAGTTATCTAATTTACAAGTTTTGATATTTAGCAAAAATGGTTAGTAAAATGCTTAATTTTCAGATATATACAAACAATAAATGTTTATCAATTGTTAACCAGCATAAATTTAAATAATCTCGACTTACATCGTGTATAAGTATGCTTTTACTTAGACGCTCTACGTAAAAACTTCTCGTGTTGTATAAATCGTGTGGGTTTTCAGTTTTAGAAGGAGTGCATCCAAACCTAGATAAACTGAGCAAATTGACCATGTTAGATCTCAGTATGAATGATCTTGGAAAGGTGCCTGAAGCCATTATGAGTCTCATTAATTTACAGCAACTTTGCCTAAATGATACAGGAATCGACTTCGTTCCTGCCAATATCGGTAGACTTTCAAATTTAAGAATTTTGGAACTAAGAGATAACAATTTGTGCGAACTCCCCAAGTCAATCAGACGTCTGACCAATTTACAGCGACTAGATGTTAGCGATAACAACTTATCTAATTTAGTGAGTGCCTCTTCGATGCAAGCTGTCCGATTATTATTTTTTACACTATTGTAGACTGAAATTTGTGAAGCACATGGAAACTTGACCGAATTATGGATAAACGGCAACAATATTTCGGAACTGTCGGTGTCCATCACCCATCTGAAAAAAATGAACGATTTTGATGCCTCATATAATAATTTAGAATCGGTGCCAAAAGAGATCGGACATTGGACTAAGATTACCAATTTAATTTTAAGCTTTAATAATCTCTCCAGTTTGCCGAAAGCTATCGGCAACCTGAGAAATCTCCAGGTATTAAAATTGGAAACAAACTATCTGGAAGAACTGCCCAATACCATTTCCAAATTAGTGAACTTGGAAGAACTGAATCTGCAAAATAATTCATTGATGAAAATCCCCAGCGGCATCGGCCACCTTAGGAAATTAGCCACGCTAATACTATCAGATAATAAAATGCAACATCTGCCAGCAGGTAAGATAACGATAAAATAAAGCAATTGCATACAGTTTCTACCCCTCTAGGTCTTCTTGGACTCAACTTATAAGTATATTTTTTGCAGAAATTGGCAGTTGTTGCGAGCTTTCCATTCTCAACATCCACAATAATTTCCTGGAAAAATTACCTGATGAAGTAGGTCACCTACAGCATTTAACCACTCTAGGACTGATCGGCAATAGACTCTCCTATTTGCCTATTACTATATCAAAACTCACCAGCTTGAAAGCTTTATGGCTGACGCCTAACCAAACTCAACCTCTGATACATTTACAAAATGAACAATTGCCAGATGGGCAGGTTGTTTTAACATCTGTGGTTTTCCCTCAAGTACCACTGCGTGAACAATCTGCACCCTTACCTCACTTAGGAAACCAAACCAGTCATATTACATTTAATACTGAAAGAACTGATGCTGATGCTACGGATCATAGTAACTTATCATTAAGCAGAACGCCTACACCTCATCACAAAGAACTGAAAAGACTGCGGGAAGTATGGCGAAACACTCATGCACCAGGTGAGGAGTTTACTTCAAGTCTATGGTTGTTTAACAATGTTAACAATTACAGTGAACCAAGTCCTCAACGTATCAGAGATTAAGGAAGCCAAAGTGACGCATATATCAGGCGATCTGAATACATCGCAAAACAGTCTCAATGGGCATGAAAGTGAACCAACGGATGTTCTGGAAAATGTTTTGGACAAAAGGGAACACAATAAGACGCCGCCTAAACAACCACCGCCATATCATATTGCAGCTGCCTATTCAAAAAACGCACATTTATTCGCCCATAGTCCTCCCAGTCCTCTTGATCAACCCAAGCAATTCAGCCAACAGCAACCTGCGAATATCCACATGCCCACTCCCAAGATGGCTAATCGTCACCTGTTGACTGAAAGCAATAATTATATAGGTATTCCCGTTGATAAGTAAGTGAGGATTTAGAAAAAGTCGCTTCGTTAATATCAGAAAGTTTTCTCCAACAGAAAAGTTGCAATGAAATCAATTTCAACGAACACAGAAGAAGAAATGAACGGACAGTCGCCTGAGAATGACTGGCCTTTTGGGCACCATACCATTTTCAAAGTTATGGAAATAGAAATGCCTGAATTTCACGAACCTGGAGATTTTCAGATTGTTGCAAACAACGATGTATGTTAAACATATTCTTGTCAATCCATATTTGATTGCTAATTGATTGGATATTCTAGGGAATTTTCGTCGAAGAAGTTAATACTCAAGGCGCCCTTTTCCAAAAATTATATCCCGGAGATAAAGTGTTAGCGTTTGATACAACGGATTATACAGGTATTGACTCATTGGCTGCATATCAAGATGCTACGCGCAAAATAGGTAATGTGCGAATAGTAACCGTTTCTCGTAGACATGTTACTTAATAATTTTCTGTATTTTATTCAAATCAGTTCGGAGGCGTATTTGTTTCAAACTGCCGTATAAGACTAAAGTTGTTCATGTCGGTTTGAAATTAATTGCCCCAAATCGTATTTTGATTTAGCCATTTCTTTTGGTAAGTAGGTATATTACTTCTAAAGCATTTCAAATCGAAATGAAATTTTGACTGTATTTTTATGTTAAGCTATTTCTAGATAATGTTACGGTTTGTTTAGTTATACACGATTCAAATTTTCGATCTACGTGTTCTTAAATTTTAAACTGTCGCGATTTTTAACTATTGTTCTTATAAGTGTTTCTCTTCCGTGTAACTGTGAAAGTAGTAAGTGTTATCAGGCGAAAAAAAGTTGTTGAAGTTAGTGCCAAAACGTTGTTTTAGAAATGTGCCATTAATTTATTACCTACAATTTTTTAGAGTAAACAGTACCCGGATAAAAATTAAATTCCAGTATTTAGCCACCCTACAAGAACACACCTTACCTTCAGCAAAGGTAGTTTTAATTATGGGTAAACGTTCTCTGTGATTTGAAGTAGTGATTGTTTAATAATCTCTAAATGTGCAAAAGTAGATTCCGTTAGTAAATGATGTTACGTTTATCAGTAATTGTTATAGAAATATTTATTGTTACCAATTTTTACTGAATCTCAATGTTGCCAATGATCTTGTACAACTAAACAAACTTTAGGGTAAAATACCTCCCAATTTGTATTTAAGTAACAGGCTGTGAAATTAATTTTTATAATAGGTCCTATTCATATTATAAAGTGTCTCATATAACGTGAATTTGACCTGTAGTATTATTTATTTATTAGTTAGTTTTTGTTCTGGAAATGTATTTATTATTTCTATGATCATTTTCACTTTTTAAAAACTTGGTAAAACGCTTTAGGCTTACGTAATTTAAATGCGCCTAGATATTTTACCAGTTTATTGTTAACTATAATTTTGGAAGTTAGAAAATATTGTACATGGTGCAGTTTTAAAGTTACATCGATGTTCTATATATTCTAACTTTGTTTCGAAATCCTTAGGGATCCGTGCGGCGAGTAGTAAAAAACGGATACATTATAAAATGTAAATAGTTTTGGTCAAGTCTACAACATTGACAATAAAAGGGTGCGGACCAAAATTATCAAGTTAAACTTAGTTCTGCTTAAAACACATGTCCGCTTTTTGTGACTTGCCTGCACCATACAGGATTATATATACCCTTTGTGCAAATCATCTATTGCTAAATTAGTTAATGTATTTTGGACTATTTATGCCCAAATATACTCATTCATTAACTTTTTGAGCTTCTCTCATTTTGAGTGTTCTTAATGTATTTTAACATCTATATGTTGTTACTAATTATGTGAAAATTCTTATTGGCTCTCTCGATTAGATTTTTTAATGCTAAATGATGCCTAACTGTTCTCATATATCAATGTTTTCGTTTACGGTCACTCTCATTTTGCGAGTGCAAATTTTGTAAGAACACTGTTATTTATTATTAACATTTAAGTTACTCAATTACATTCGACTGACTTTAACATTTATACTTTTTTAATAAAATAGATATTTCCTATTATATAAATCTATTACATCATTATTTGTCGTTTTATTTCACGTAATAGTGTAGTAAACGGAATATTACACGGGTGTTCGATACCAAACGGATTAGAATAGGGTATGGAAACTAAATATACCAAAACTGGATTGAACATCAATTTTATTTACTTAAAGATTTTATAAAATGCTTTTAGAATACTTAGCAATGAAAATAACGTATCACAACATCAAAAGTATGCATTAAGAAAACAAAATGTGCGGTAAAGGGAAGTTTTAAAAAAAATTGTAACCACATACAGCTAGAATAACGTATACACGTTTACGCACATTTAATTAGCGGCCTAAGTTATGCCAGTTTCTTTTTTAAAACAATATCGGCAACATTAAAGTGAGCAACTTTTTTCTCTTTGGGGGGAACTGATTGGTGGCAAAATCGTTTAAAAGCCTCAAGTTCCAACTCTTCATCGTCCATATCATCTTCTAATACATCTCGTGGCTTAAAAACATTATCTAAAATTGAAAAACCGTGCAACAGCGACAACACCTTTTTCGCACGATTGAAGATAAATGGCTATTTTGGTAGACAATCAACGAATTTAAGAAACGTTACGGGAAATACGGATAGTATTGACCGATTGATCAGGTTGGTTGTGGAAGTTCGATTACCGAATGCCACTAAACTCCAACAACCATTCCATGTCTCAAAACGTGAGGATATTTGTAAGAATAACGTTAAATCAGCAAATATTATTAAGTTGGTTTTATTCAAGTAATTACACATAACATTAAACAATGGGTTTTAAGTACAGCTATTACAAACACGACAATATTTCCCTCATGGACTTACCATATAACCAGTCATCATCCTTATCAAATTCTAGATCGAAATCATTTCCATTAGATGGAATAATTGATACTTGAGCATCATGATGTGAAGTATCAATATCCATATTATCATCAAAGTTGCCGTCGTTTTTATCAATTTTTGTTATTTGAATACCAGGTAAACCAGATAAAATTTCTTGGGCATCTAAAGGTGTTACTGTCGCTTCATCTTTAACGTTGTCAGCAACACTAATTTCTCCAGTCGTATTGAAATTGTTCGAATTGATAAAATTTGTCATATTTGGGATAAATGGCATTTCTAATGGTTTAGAATTTACAATCCTGTCCATGTTGCACTCTAAGGATTGCTGTAATCTTGAGCTTCTAATAGTAACCATCCCGTTTTCGGTCTTAAATATTGCCGCAGGAGCTGACTCGTCAACTGAAATTGTATTTTTCATAAGATGTTGACTCTGGAATTGCTGAAACATTGGGTTTCTTAAAGTAACCATTCTCGGTTTTTCTTTTGATTCATTCGGTTGAACATCCGTTTTTTTATTTTTCTTCTTTTTCTTCTTACTCGTTTTGGATACCTTTGAACTATCGTCATTCTTTGTCTTTTGAATCAATTTTTCTGTATCTACTACTATTACACCAGATTTTCCTAATACTGAACTATCTTTATTTGAATCCGCTATTTGATTCGCAATCGGAATATGGTAGCTTTTATTTGCCACTGGACCTTCCACTTTAGTGATTGTTATTCCTGAAAATTTACAATTATGATCAATATGTGAAGAAAATGAAAAGGTGCTACCATCTTTACCTGGAGGCAATCTAAGATTTCCCAAAGATCTAATTTCATCGTCGGTAGGTTCACGTTCTCTTTTCGTCGCTCTTGGCTTCGGTCGTTTCACTTCTATGTCCTCAAAACCATTTGGTAAGGAGGATATAGAAGTTTTGTCGACAGCTAAAGTCACTTTAACATCTTTGGCTATAATTTTTGCCTCGTTTGGAACCTCGACATTTTTATTGCTGGAATGAATCCCATTCTTTTTCTTCTTATTTCCTAAAAAACACATTTTCAAATAACATCGAATGAAAGCTATATAACGTTATTTACCTTTAACATCAACAATTTTATTTTCCATTTTGGCCGTTTTACAATATTCGTCTATTACAGGCTCCTCCACAAGAGTCGTTAACAGCTTATCTTGATCAGGTGTACAACCCTTAAGAGTAATGGTAACCAATGGGGTACCATTCATACCACCAGGAACCCGTTTTATGGTCACCATAGCAGGAATTGTTTCTTCAATTGTAGTTTTCTGCAAAACCAAGCTTTCGCGCTTCTTAGCCTGTCGCTGTTTTTTCAGTTTCTTTTTCAACTGAGCCTCTTCAAGCTTTTTTTGTTCTTCTAATCGTTCCTTTTCTCTTTTCAGTTCCATCTTCCTTTCATGTTCCTGCCGCGCCATTTCCTCAAGTTTTCGCTTCTTCTCCAATTCCACTTGTAGTTTTTCTTGTTCCTAATGGAAAATATGAATGAGTAAAAAGCAATAAAGCTCCTTTTTTACTCACTTTTTTCTCCCGTTGCCTAGCTTTCTTTGCAGCCTTTTTCTGGGCTAGGTCTGCTTTGCTTTTAGCAGGGTTTCCTTCGATATAATTTACCAGGCCTCTAATTTCATTCATCTTACCTACAGACACAGGATCGAGATCTGGAGGGGAAGCGGGAAAATTTGAAGGAGATGGAGGCATAGGTACCTAAACAAACATTTTTACTAACTTGAAGAACTTTTGATGATGTAATACCATACCCGAGTTTCTAATTTAAATTTAGAATTTTCTCGATCGAAAGATTTTTGGTTGATCTCACTTTCCCTTTTCTTTTCTTTCCTTCGGAACAATCTCACTCTCAATTTCTCTCTAGGTTCGACAACTTTTTGGATGCCGAAAACCTCACAATAAGTACAGCTGCATTTTTTTTGTGGCTCGACGATCTCGGGCGCAGTTGGACAAACTAAGAAAATTGTTATTGTTAACTTGCTGATAATAGGTGAAAAATTCATGACACACCTGTAGGAGCTGCCCCTTTATTACCAGCTGGCTCAGACGCATTTCTCTTCCCCGGTCTACAGATGGAGGTACGTAATAGATTAGCAAATGGCTATTAGTATTATTAAGGTTTCTTACCGATGACCATTTATACGTATTTGACGCAGTAACTCTTCAGTTTCTGCTAACTTTTCAGCAGTAATACTAGGTGATGTTGGTTTATCAGCTTCATCCCTATAATAAATATACAGTGTGGAAGACAATAAGTATCTTTTGTTTTCCAAAAACGCATAAGCTTCCGGATTCAAATTAAGCTCTTTTGTAATTTGTTTAATTTCAGCTAAACTACTCGTCGGAAATACCAGATATCTTTCTACTTTCTACTCATATTTTCAAAAAAACTACTGCTACGAAGTACTGCTCTTTGCCGAACTTGAATTAATATCTAATGGGTGCATTTTAGAATGTAGGCTATGCAAAACTTTTCTACATAGTTGTAACCTGATGAAGATCTAACTGGAACAATAAATGACGTCGCAATCCAAAATCTCCAACTTACTTCAAAGATTTGCCAAACCCATTCGCTAGCAATTCGTCTCTTAGGCTCGGAATTCGACCGTTTTTCACCTTATCAATAATCTTTTCTTTTCTGCTTTGTATAAACTTCTCAAAAGCCGTTTTCGAACACAATGAATCATTGTTCTTCAATTTTCCAGTGTCTGTAGTATTTACAAAGTCCCCATTTGATATTTTAAGTTTTTCGCTAAGCATTTCACTAAGTAGTATTGAATTATCGTTCATTTTTAAGTCATTTTTTTCCGATATCACGCGACATACACTGGAAGGTTTCAATACTTCTTTTTCAACAGCGCTCAAATCTTCGAGATGATCTGCAAAAGAAGGATTTTTGAAAAATATCAATATGAATCCGCAGACTTTACAAACCGTTGACATGGTCCTGAAATTGCTCGAGATTAAGAATACATTTACACCTTCTACAATATGTTGTTCGTTCTTCCGTAGCAATAAACGAGAAATCTTCATTTGAATCTAAATAAATCTTATACTTGGCAACTAGGCATTCTTCACATATACATTGTCCATTTTTATTCAGACCCGGACCTTCTGGAAAAAATTGCCTGTCCTTAAGCAGATCAAAGAGATTATCGTCTATTCTGTCCAGGTCAACAATTTTTTTCCTACAAAATAATTGCAATGATAACAGCGGTTTAATTTTTGTTTATTTTCGCCACTTACACGTCGTTATTTCGGTCCACCCAAAACGTAGCGGAAAGTAATTTTTTATGAGCTGCTAAAATTCGTTTTTCCCTTATTCCTTCTTGGGAATTGTCAGCTAATTTTCTTTGCTGACTAAAACACATTTTAGGTTGATGTCGTAGTCAAAATGACATAAAATACTTACTTGGTAACAGTTATCCTATTTTCGTGTTCAGACCAAGTCCTTTTGAGCTTTGTCATTGACACGAATGTTTGAGGAGTGTCACCTACGCTCTTCTTAGTCTAAAAATTCCAACACTCTTAAATTAACGAACGTCTTTCAAAAATGTTACAGTTAAACAATACAGCGTGTACGAAAGCGTTTCTATTGGTTGGAGATCTGTCAATTCGTCCGCCGTCGTACGAATTGACAGATCTCCAACCAATAGAAACACTTTCGTACCATCGTATCATCGTACAAACGGATGCATGAGACACGGGCTTTAGCCTGCTGTTTATTGAATGATTGCTTACCTTGAGACACTCATCCACTTTTGTTTTAACACGATCGCTTTCATAAAAAAATCTTATGAAAATAAAAGTGTTAAAGTCGATCCAACAAACACGGTATTTCTTATAAATAATATCTCTTTCAAAATCTGTAAATACCGGTATTAAGGTTTTGGCGGCAGTCAACATTGCCTCATAATAGTCAAAAAATTCTGTAAGTAAACAAAATTAGAGAAAAAAACACGAATTTGGTAGGATATTCCTTACTTTTAAGCGGTTCCTCTTTGTCATTTTGACTATAATGCCATTGGGCAAATATACAATACTCCCTTAACAAAGTAAATATTCTAAGCCATACCTGACTTTCATCATCTTCTCTTAAACTACAAATATAAACATTTTTTAATTTGCTAGTGAATAATTCGTTAAATATTTTCAAATATCTTATAACAATTACCAATTAATCAATTCCCTCATTTCACATACGAAATATGTTGAGAGTGTATCAGATGTAATCTTGGGTACTTGGCAAGCAAAGTTTCTATACGCATAGAACAAATAATGCTGTAAATCCACCCATACAAAATGCACTTTCGGAGCCTGTTCTTGCACTTTTTTGACAAAGTCTAGCAACATTTTTTGTTCAATTTTTGTAAAGTTGCTGTCCTTTTTAGGTAATGGCCCCGGATTTTCGACTCTTAAACCCTTTAAAGTTCGTTGTGGATTCTAAAACAGCCAAACCGAACTTATTGAATACTTGTTTTTATATATAAAAAAAGTTAAGTAATCCGCATAGTAGGCAGATCTTTAAAGGTAAATGCCCGTTTTGAAGCAATCTAACCATTAGTAAAAAACTTATGAAATTAACCAAAATACCTACAAGTGTACGAAAAAATAAAATACAAATATAATAAAAAATTGCCAAATGTGCGATATTTTTCAAACTGCAACAAACAGCGTGGGCGTAAGCCAAGTTCTCATAAGCGAAAAAAATTCCGAATAATCGGACGATTTAACAGACGGAAAAAGTTGAAATAAAATATGTAGTTCTAATTTGCGATTATTTCTTCCCGAAAAAAAAGCAATCATTTTTCGAAATTCGACCAAGGGCTTTCGGTAATTTGCAAAGCATAGGCTGAGCTTGGAAAAATTGAATAAATTCTACACTTAAAGCAGGTATAGGATCTCGGCTTTTACAGTTTTTAGTAATATGAGGTCCAA